CTACGATATCATAAAGGAAAATTCGTTATCGTAGTAAAAAGCAGTAGATTCTTGCAGTACGGGAACAGACCAAAAATTTGCGCAAGAGTGTCATTCAAATTATCGAAAAAAAATTTAGTTCCCTTCCAGAACCTCGAAGAATCTAACAATATTACAAGTTTTGAAACTTTTTACTCGAAAACCATTCCTGAACCCACAAAACTGATAAAATATTGAACCAAAATTAGAGAATACAAAACAAAATGGCGTTCTCTTTGTAAACAGTATACTCGAAAAATTTGTCCGAGTAAAAATGGTAAACAGAAATGTTATCTTCTGATTGGCTGTTATGTTGATTTTGAAGTATTGCCTATCTACTTTTGGCATATTTACTAGATTTGCGTTCCCGAACTTTTCAAATTATTTTGTACTCTGAGACCGATATTGAAATTTTTCCATTTTATTAGCATTACTATTAAAAGGTACCTGTATAAACCATTTGATAGAATAAAAAAATTAATTAAAATTTCCAAATATTTCAGAAAAATTAAAACGATGAATGAAATGTACAAATCTAAACGATTTTCTTCTCATTCGGTTGAAATTAGCGTATAAAAACGCAGGACAGACCAGAATAAAAATAATCTTTTTTTAATGTGACAGTTCATTGAGAAAATAAAAAATGTGTCAAAAACGCCATTAAATTTTTTGTACAGAACAGGAAACAAAACGTTTAAAAAATAAATTCTGACGACATGAATTAAGAATAGTGTTGTATGAACAGCTTAATTCAAGTACGTTGTTCTAAGGTCAAAAAACGTTGTTCAAGTGTCCGTCAGAACATGGTATTAGACTTTCAAAGTATCGATTAATCGATTCGAATGTCAAATAACTTAATGCCATGTTCTGAAGGGCATTCGAACAACTTAGTTCGCTCTCAGAATTGCGTACATGAATTAACCCGTTCATACAACACTATTCTTAATTCATTTCTTCAGAGTTTTTTATTTCAAACTTTTTGTTTCTTGTTTTACACCAAAATTGTAACATATTTGCTTGAATCATATATGGATCTAAATAGAAAAATTAATTCTCTTTCTCCTGACTATATTGTGAAACCATATCTATTTACTTTTAATTCATGTTTTTCATTTTTTCTGATATTGTTGTTTTCATACATTTTTATATTTTCTAAATTCAAATGTCACATATAAAAATTTGGAGAATTTTTTGTTTGAGTTTTCCCAAATTTGTTTCTTGTTTTGTATGCTAATTAGAACCAATGGAAAGAAATTCATATTGCATTATGTAGATAACAATATTTACATCCTGCTGCATATATAAAAACTAGACAATTTTTTACTTTTCATTCATCATTTTCAATTTTACTGAAAAAGTTTGAAAATTTTATAAATATTTTCAAGCTGTCAAAATTAATTTATTTTCGATAAATGCTCTCAATTGTAAGGGATGGGACAAATTTCTTGGTTATTCAGAGAGTGATTCGAATTGAACAACGTACAAAAGTCGATGTTCGCTCAGACAATTTTGTATGGGGAACTAAGTAATTACATCATAATTACATTCATAATTAGGGGTCGAACAACGAATGAGAGGGCGAACGACGCTCGTCTCTACATGGCATAACCTGCGACACCTGCGTGAAGTTAGCAACGTTGCTAATTTTCGAAAACAACATTTTTAACAAAACTACAGGGTGACACAGAACGACCAAATTTTACATTTAGTACCTTTTTTGCAACTGTGATAAAAATAAATAAATTTAAACACAAAAATTATGAATGAATATAACGAAAAAATTTACTAATATTGTTGTATAATTTATTTTATGGTGTCCATTTACAGATTAATCTGTAATATTCCACTAACAGCAGTTATAAATATGACAAATTTTTAATTTGGAGGCTACTACTTCTAAGGTCAGAAATCTGGATCTGGAAGCTACAATATAAAAACGTACAGAATAAACTCGATGTCTAATGAAAGAGGAGATCCTCACGAGCAATTTGGTGTATCGCATGAGCTCCCAATCAGTTTTTCGTTGAACAAAGTTTCCAATTTTCTGGTTTCCAACTGGTGGTCAGGACAGAAAACTGGATCTGGAAGCTTCAATATAAAAACGTACACCATAAACTCGATGTCTAATGAAAGAGGAGATCCACACGAGCAATTTGGTGTATCGCATGAGCTCCTAATCAGTTTTTCGTTGAACAAAGTTTCCAATTTTCTGGTTTCCAACTGGTGGTCAGGACAGAAAACTGGATCTGGAAGCTACAATATAAAAACGTATACCATAAACTCGATGTCTAATGAAAGAGGAGATCCTCACGAGCAATTTGGTGTATCGCATGAGCTCCTAATCAGTTTTTCGTTGAACAAAGTTTCCAATTTTCTGGTTTCCAACTGGTGGTCAGGACAGAAAACTGGATCTGGAAGCTACAATATAAAAACGTACACCATAAACTCGATGTCTAATGAAAGAGGAGATCCTCACGAGCAATTTGGTGTATGTATGAGCTCCTAATCAGTTTTTCGTTGAACAAATTGGGAACTTTGTATCATGCGATACACCAAATTGTTCGTGAGGATCTCCTCTTTCATTAGACATCGAGTTTATGGTGTACGTTTTTATATTGAAGCTTCCAGATCCAGTTTTCTGTCCTGACCACCAGTTGGAAACCAGAAAATTGGAAACTTTGTTCAACGAAAAACTGATTAGGAGCTCATGCGATACACCAAATTGCTCGTGAGGATCTCCTCTTTCATTAGACATCGGGTTTATGGTGTACGTTTTTATATTGAAGCTTCCAGATCCAGTTTTCTGTCCTGACCACCAGTTGGAAACCAGAAAATTGGAAACTTTGTTCAACGAAAAACTGATTAGGAGCTCATGCGATACACCAAATTGCTCGTGAGGATCTCCTCTTTCATTAGACATCGAGTTTATGCTGTACGTTTTTATATTGTAGCTTCCAGATCCAGATTTCTGACCTTAGAAGTAGTAGCCTCCAAATTAAAAATTTGTCATATTTATAACTGCTGTTACTGGAATATTACAGATTAATCTGTAAATCGACACCATAAAATAAATTATACAACAATATTAGTAAATTTTTTCGTTATATTCATTCATAATTTTTGTGTTTAAATTTATTTTTTATTTAAATTTATTTATTTATTTTTATCACAGTTGCAAAAAAGGTACTAAATGTAAAATTTGGTCGTTCTGTGTCACCCTGTAGTTTTGTTAAAAATGTTGTTATCGAAAATTAGCAACGTTGCTAACTTCACGCAGGTATATTTATTTATTTATTTTTATCACAGTTGCAAAAAAGGTACTAAATGTAAAATTTGGTCGTTCTGTGTCACCCTGTAGTTTTGTTAAAAATGTTGTTATCGAAAATTACCAACGTTGCTAACTTCACGCAGGTAAACGTTGGTTGTTCAAGTGTCCGCCATGGCATTAGACTTTCAAAGTATCGATTAATCGATTAGTCGAATGTCAATTTACTTATGCCATGTTCTGACGGGAATTCGAACAACGTAGTTCGCTCTCAGAATTACGTACATGAATTAACCCGTTCATACAACACTATTCTTAATTCATGTCATCAGAGTTTTTTTATTTCAAACATTTTGTTTCTTGTTTTACACCAAAATTGTACCATATTTGCGTGAATCACATATGGATCTAAATAGAAAAAATAATTCTCTTTCTCCTGACTATAATATCAACCCATATCACTTTACTTTTAATTCACGTTTTCCATTTTTCTGAAAATATTGTTGTTTTCAATACATTTTTATATTTTCTCAACTCAAATGTCACATTTAAAAAATTGGAGAATTTTTGTTTGGGTTTACCCACTATTGTTTCTCGTTTTGTACGCTAATTAGAACCATGGGGAAAGAAATTCACATTGTATTATGTAGATAACAAAATTTACATCCTGCTGCATATACAAAAAACTAGACAATTTTTTACTTTTCATTCATCATTTTCAATATTACTAAAAAAGTTTGAAAATTTTATAAATATTTTCTAGCTGTCAAAATTAATTTATTTTCGATAAATGCTCTCAGTTGTTAGGGATGGGACAAATTTCTTGGTGATTCAGAGAATGATTCGAATTGAACAACGTACAAAAGTCGGTGTTCGCTCAGACAATTTTGTATGGGGAACTAAGTAATTACTTCATAATTAAGGGTCGAACAACGTATGAGAGAGCGGACAACGCTCGTCTGTACATGGCATTAGCGACATCGCTAACTTTCGATAACAAAATTTTTATCGAAATTACAGGGTGACACAGAAGATCACTATTTCACATTTAGTACTTTTTTATCAACAGTGCTTTCCAACAGAGATAGCGCAGAATATTATAAAATTATTAATAAAAACGTTAACATAATTCATTAGTAATGAAAAATAATAAACAATACGAAAATTTTGAAACATATTTTATTATAATCTAAAACTAAAGTATTACTAAATCACAAACATTTTAATCCAGTGAATCAGGAGAGAAGTCCGCCTCTGGAAGCCTCCCTATACAAACCTCGAACATAGTGATGGTACCAAATGAAAGAGGGAGTCCCTACGAGTATTTTAGTATCCACCATATGTTCAGATTCAGTTATTCGTTCGTTATTACTAAACACTACATTACATCAATCTTTTTTATTTATTAAATACTTCCGTCAGAACATGTCAGTAGACTTTTCAATACAAACATCGATTAGTGGAATAAATCGATTAGTCGAATGTCAATTTTGACAATTTACTTATGGCCTAATTCGTAAACAACACGGCTTCCATTTAGTCTCCTTCCCACCCCATTCGTAAACTTTCCGTTATACTTTGAGTTCATCTTTATCGGCCATTTGTCTTCTCCTGCCATTCGTTAGCAGGTGGAACGTTTTTCATTTTTATTTTTATAGAAACATACGTAAATTACACAACCCCGCATTTATTCATTTATTATTGTTAAATACTTCTTCTAACGAAACTTTTAAGCATTTGTCAAATCAAAAATGAATATCTGTAGCCTCAGGGGCATTCAAACGCAATTATGCAGACGTGCATTTATATTGTCCAGCAATGGCAGGCCGGCAGCGATTCATCCAGTTGCGGCAACCAAAACAGGTAAGATCGAGTTGAATGAATGTTTTGAGGTTATGATATTGATAAGAAGGTTACTGATTAATTATTGTACAAATGATACAAATGATGAAATTCTGAAATAAAATTGAAAATGATATTAACATGCTGATTGCTTTTGCGTTTCTATTTACAGTGACCACACGTGAGGCCCACAGCGCTCTATATCAAATGGTAAAAAAGCAACAAAAAATTCAAAACAAAAATCAAGACAGTGCAAAACGATATCCCACAAGTATGGAGGGATCCAAAAGACCTACAGAATCTTCTATGAGATCTCAAAATTCTCGGAAAACCAAATTTCTCAATGAATGTGGCATTCCAATGTCAAGCCTGTCGCCACAGCAACAGTCTATTGATAATGAACCAAATGTGCAAACTCGAAAAGAAAAATATAATGTGAATACCACATAGGCTTTTGATAAGCTCAATGAGAATCGAATAAGGGAACATTTTTACCAGTGATTATGTTGTACATTTTCGCACAAAAAAATCTATAAAATAATTTTTATAGAAAAATTAGCACCTTGCTGAATTTTGATGAACAGAGCAAAAAAAAAAAATTAGATACGAACCTACAAAACAATATTCTAGAAACATTTCAAAAGTATTATTTTGATTTATTCCCCATAATTAGCTATTCATTTGAGAGTTCGATATTTTTTACTGGTAAAATTATGATCCATTTTGAAGAGCTCAACTAATATACTAATTCTCCATTAGTTACAACATTGTGTGTATTTTCTTACTTTATTCCAAAATGTGTTGTTTTCTTTCATAGGAGCTATGCCGTCCCAGACTTTCCTGTAATACTGAAGTACTCAGAGCTGTAAATTGTAATGTCAGCCGAAAAGCCAGTAATGAAAGTAAGGAAACCAGTACTTGTGATACGTCTAACTCGGGTGCAGGAACCAGTGGTACACCAGGGGGCGACAAAGGTGATGATAAGACCAAAACAATTCTTTTAGCTTTGGCCGGAGTTTTAGGTGTTGGTGGATTGGTAAGCAATAGTAAAAATTCAATTTACAAACGTAATAAAATACTGAAATGTAATCAATAGGTTTACTACTTTATGAGCGACAAAAAAGACGAAACAACAACAAGCACTACTCCAGAAATTCCCAAACCCAAGTCGGAAGATTTGCCAAAGCATGTTCCATATTTATTGATAGGAGGTGGTACCGCATCATTTTCTGCATTCCGTGCTATCAAATCAAACGATGCAAAGGCTAAGGTGAGTACATATAGAGTAATGTTTTGTTTTTATTTTGCGTAACATAATTGGTATAGGGTCTGTATAAACAATTTTACTTTCTGCAAAGAAACTTAATATTTTTATCTGTAAATATTGTAGAATTTTAACATTCATTTGTGTTTATAATATTTTCTGTAATATAAGAAGCATCATTATAATCACATATATACCTTCTTTTCCCTTAAGGTCTTAATGATTACAGATGAAAATCACAAACCCTATATGCGACCACCATTGTCTAAGGAATTATGGTACACTGCTCAAAAGGGGGAAATAAGTAACGATTATCGTTTCAAACAATGGACTGGTGCTGAGCGCAGTTTGTATTTTGAGCCAGAAGAATTCTTTATTGAACCATCCAAACTTAGTGACAGTGAAAATGGCGGTATTGCCGTCGCCCAAGGCTTTAAGGTGAAAAAAGTTGACCCCACAAAACGTGTTGTGACACTTAGTGATGGCTACGAAATTACTTATGACCAATGTTTAATAGCCACCGGCTGTACCCCAAAAAATTTGCCAATATTCACTGAGGCCGCTCCTGGAGTGAGAGAGAAAGTTATGGTCTATCGCACTCCTGAGGACTTTGAAAAACTAAAAAAATATTTGGATAACAAGAAGACAGTTGCTATAATCGGTAATGGCTTCTTGGGCAGTGAGTTGAGTTGTTCCTTGGCAAACTACAACAAAAGTAAAACCGATGCTGGTCGCATTTATCAAATATTCCAAGAAACTGCCAATATGTCAAAGATCTTACCCGATTACCTTAGCAAATGGACTATGGAAAAGGTGAAAGCACAAGGAGTTTGTGTTGTACCCGGTGCCAGTTTAAAGAGTGTGCAAAGAGATAATGCACATTTGAATTTAGCTTTAAGTACAGGTGATACCATTAGGGCCGATGTGGTAAGTTTTTAATTGAAAACGATTTGATGAAATATTATTAATGTTTTTGTTTTTAATTTTGTAGGTGGTTGTTTGTGTAGGTTGTGAAGCCAATACAGAAATTGCAAGTAGTTCGGGCTTAGAAGTGGATAAGAATTTGGGCGGTTTTGTCGTCAATGCTGAACTAGAAGCTCGTCGTAATTTATTTGCTGCCGGAGATGCTTCCTGTTTCTATGATCCCCTGCTGGGCAGGAGACGTGTCGAACATCATGACCACTCTGTGGTATCGGGTCGTTTAGCAGGCGAGAATATGGTGGGGAAAAGTAAGTTATTTATAAAAACTTAATTAAGTGTAGATGTTGATAATAAATATGCCTTAATTTGCAGAGAAACCCTATGCCCATCAAAGCATGTTCTGGTCTGATTTGGGACCCGAAATTGGTTATGAAGGCATTGGCTTGATAGACTCATCATTGCCCACTGTTGGTGTTTTCGCCCTCGGCAACAAAGCTGAAAGACAAACCGATAATCTACCAGAGCCCAGTAAAGAGGATACTGAACAAAGCAGCCCCAAAACTCCTAGTCAAGATGTAGCCGAAGTAAAATGCAACGAAGAGCAAGCTGACAATTACGGACGAGGTGTAGTGTTCTATTTAAGAGATGACAAAATTGTTGGAATTCTTTTGTGGAATATCTTTAATCGCATTGGTCTGGCGCGTACTATTATCAATCAAAATAAGAAATATGATGATCTAAATGAAGTGGCGAAATTATTCGAAATCCATTCGTAGAACAATTAAAATATAACATAGTTATAAATTTGTATGTCCTATGTACTTTGGTAAGGTAGAAATGTTTTTGTTGTTAATTAAAATCGATTTCTTTCCTTTGCAAGAAATTGAATGTATTGTACCTACAAACGAAAAAAATACACAATAATCCCCTGCATTTTCCATGAACTGACAACACACACAAATCCAGCTGCTATTATTATTTTAAACGTGTGGTTTAACCCACATATTCTAATCGGTACTTAGATTAGGTAAAATCTAACTGCCTCCTAATAAATAAGTTAATTCTAGCTTTAAAAATATGGTACAGATGTTCTAGAGTAGGGTTTATGGCCAGGTAATAAAAATGAAGGTCTCGCGGATTTTTACGCGTGTGGCAGGTAAACGAATAATCAATATATAAATTCACGGGCATCCGACACCAATCATCAGTCTTTGTTCAACAATGGAAGCCAAATCTCATCAATTACCTTTGCACGCTTACAACCAAAGTGATAGAATGTTCGAAGAAAAGGACATATTAAAGCAACTAGAACAAGAAGCTGGTAAATAATTAAATTGTTGATAAAATTTAGTAAGATATTTTAATATTTAATTTCTCATTCACAGAACTTTGTATTAATGAACACACAGAAGATGAAGTGACGGCAGCCATTGGTATGATGTTAATGCATTACCAAGCCGTGTCAGATGCTCAGTTCACTCCTAAAAATAGGCCCATAATACAATGTACAACTGTCAAAGCACCCCTGCTACGAGAAGGAAATTGTCCGCAAACAGTGACTAAGGAAGATACCGTTTTACATAGTATACAGCATACAACCGATATGAAGCGAAAGAATCGTAAAAGTGCAGCAAGTAAATCATCGTCGCTTTTGGCATCTTGCCGTAACATTCTAAAAGAGTTTTTATCGCAAAATAGTATATAAAAATATCCAATGATGTTAAAAACATTATTGCCACATACAAATAAGTAACTAGTAAACAAATTAAGTATCCTATAAGGATTAGCATATAGGTTAATATTTTTTAATATAGTTTTAATAAAATTACAAGTTATTTAAAATACTCTGAGATTCAATTTATTTTAGAAATACATTTTGGTGTTTTTATATGTTAGCTTGAAGTTCGTTCGGAGTTCAATCGATTTAAAGTGGTTAGATAGATCAATAACTGTGGCGAAAATATATTTTTTTAGTAAAAACAGAACAAGATCGACCCTACAATTTCAACAAAATAATTTTCGAGTTTTTATGCCTTTTTAGGGCCAATGATTTAGTTATTTTTGATTAAAAATCCGATATTGTGGCTACGGAAACGACACTGAAGCCGTTAGTTTTTATTGCAGCTAGTTCTTATGATGCTACTGAAAGTCCTAAAATCCGTTGTCACTTTCATTTGGTGGCTATGTGAATAAAAGTGAATTTAAATCAGGCAATGAGAATGGTGTTGGTACTAGAAGGAATGCGCCGATAATTTCCGTCTTCCAACAATATACAGGCTTGGTAAAAATATTAGGATGTGCAAAGTTTGATTCAAATCGGAAAGCACGTTCACATGATATTGCATAACAAATATAAAGCAATCAGCCTTATTCTGATGTCAATTCCATGTGAATTTACTCGCTCTTTTCCTTCGCCTTATTCTGAACAACATTTTCCTGTGAATTTTTTCGCATTCTCGCTTTCGCCTTATTCTGAATGAAGTTCGAAAGCGAAAAAATCCGCTTTGGGGAAAAATTAGGTATTCTGAATTACAGGGAGTAGGAGAATGAGATGAAATTTTGTGCGAAAATTTTCGCTAATAAATTTAAAGGGAGTTGATAACAAAAACATAAGTAATAACTATTTTTATTAAAAATATTTACACAATACTTATTCTATGACGATTTAGAATATTATAAATGATAGTAAGCAAATTTTTTACTGGAAAACAACCAATAAAATGCCATTGGAAATCCTATTGATAATGATGCCTGCTGAACCAAGTATTGCCAAGGAATATATGAAGGTAATAAGGAATATTTAAGTCGAGTTTGATGCAGTTTGGAGGTGAAATACAGACATTTTGGGTGAGGGTCTGTCTCTCAAGAAAAAAATTTTAAAAATTATGGAAAAACCAAATTTGCCTGATGAGCCGCTTAACAGTGAAAAACTTAAATAAAAATTATGAAAGAACAAAAAATTTTTTTTCAAAAGCAAATCATAACATAACAGGCCACTTTAAGAATTTGGGGAGATAAAATATCGGAATTAAATAAAAAGGCACACAATTATGTAGTGAAATAATAAACTGTGAATTAATTAATTAAATCGCAGATTTCTTCCTATTATTCGTTGTGTTTTTGCCATCATAAAACATGTTCTTTTATTTGTAATCTATTGTAGTTGTTGCAACAAATTGCATCAAAACAATGAACAGCTGTTTCACATGCCATACTGTAGGTTGCCATATTTTCAAACTTCAATTTATTTTCTTTTAATTACAAAGCATTTATACAGCGCATTCTTGATATTTCACATTTGTATTGCTATATAGTTTAAATAACAATAAAAAGTAACAATTTTTAATAACAAAAATCAATAAATAATATATTGAAAAATGTTACACAATTAAATTACAATGGGGCAACACACATTGCAACTTAAATAACAATATGGACACACACATTGCAACTTAATTTACGATATGGCAACACTAATATTTTTTTCAACCACCATTTTCGAAAACTCAAATCCGCATCTCGCATTTTTCGCATCTCCCTATTCATTCAGAATAAGGCGAGAATGTGAAAGCGAAAATTTTTTACACGCGAGATATCTCCCTAGCAAATACATATCCAGAATTAGGCTGAATATTTTTCCAATTATGTGTGGGAGGCACCAGAAAGAGGAGACAGACGGACCTTTGTAAGCATACTCCAAATTGTCTGAAATGGATTTGGTCCAAAGAAACATGGCGTCTAAAACCAATATTTCGATAAGTCACATTTTTGTCGTATCAAAGTGTACGTACCCTCATGCCATAAGAATGAAAAAAATGGAAACATATTTGGAGTATTATAGATAGCATAATAAAAACAAATTCAGAAACAGACAAACATAACCTCTTCCCAAAGGTTCAGGATGGGAGGAATAGTGTATCCAAGGATCAAATTGAGTGTTTTCAATTCCTCGTAGGTGTGCTGCCGTAAACAAAAATAACGTTTACGATTGGGTCATAGAATATTTTTTTCGCGAAATGTGGTATACAATTTTATAACTAAAACACAGAAATTATTCTTTGTTTTAAAAGTAATTTTATTTTTGAAGACAAAAGAAAAAATATGTTTTTATTTGTTTTGATTTATTCAACTACTTATATTTCATGGTATAATTTGCATTTCTTGTTTTTGTTTGTTTTTTTCATTGTTTTTAATTAAATTAATTAATTGGTAATACAGCTATAAGCTATTAAATTAAAGCTAAAAATGTGGGTTTTTTACCAGAAAGAAACAAATTCAAATGTTGCTGTTGTAAATTGTGTAAATAGACGATTTCCTTTTCTTCTTCATTTCCGTTTTGTTTTCTTTTTCGTTTTTTTGTATTGGTAATGGTAAGTATGTAAATATATAAGAGTTGTTGTATGTATATATGCATGTTTCTTTCCCTTTTTTGTTATAAGGCTAAATTGTAAAAATTGTGTTGAATATTTTTGTAATTTGATCTTATGGTTTAGGGTTTTCAATAAAACATTTGTTTCATTCTTTTTTATTATAATTCGTATTTTGAAATATTTACAAAGGGGCTGGCTAATACTAATCTTATTAATAGAGAAATAAAAAAAGAAAACAATGAAAAATTATAAAAATATTTCTTTAAACACTACATAAATTGTTAAGATAAATACGATTTGATTTTCTTGTTTTTTTTTTTTTATTTTAATAAAAAATATTAAATTACTGAAAATATTAAAGCAATTTTATATCAGATTTTTCTTTTTCTGCTAAAGTTCTTATTTAAAAAATATTAATATATATATATATAAGTATGTATATGTGTATATAAAAAACAGAAATTACTCTTAATGGAAGCCAAGGGGGGAAGAGTTTTATTTTTGTTTCAATTTTATTCTAACAATGTGAAATGATTGTAAAACGAAGACATTTCATTCAGCTTGCTTTTTGAGGGGATTTCATAAAAAAAAAATTATTCCATTTTCCCAAGCTAGGCTTAGAAAAATTTAAAAAAACAAGTCTCAAATGAATTAAAAAGGAGTAATGAATTGTAAATGAGAGAACAAATTATTAGCGAATTCATTTAATAGAATTTGTTGTTAATATTTATAAAAAAAGATATGTGTACTTTGAATAAAGAATTCTATTTTTTCATCTTGTGGTATTTACTCTCCATTTTGTTAATCATTTCTTTATAAATTTTTTGCTATCACATTTTGTTTGCAATTATTATTTTTTGTATTGTATGTTTAATCATTAATTTTAATTTTTTTGTTTCTTAGAAGAATTTCAAATTGGTTAAAGCTGTTCCAGAGAGAAAAAAGCTTTGTTTCTAATAAATACAGTTATTTCTTTTCATGATTTCAATATTTATGTAAATAACAAGTAACAATTTTTGTTCTTATTCTCATTAGTGGGGGCATCATTTGGGGGGAGTAATTGGAGGTATTACGAAACCATCGTTAACAAGGGGAGGGGAGGAAATGGTTCTATTCTATTAATTGTTTACTTTTTTCATTTTAATTTAAGGGGGAGAATCAATCCATCAGTTTTTGTTTTATCAGAATTCATTTAGGAGTTATATATAATGCTTGCTACTCCTCTAATTAAAAATACCTATTTTTGTAATAAATTGTACATTAGAATAAGAAAAGATAAATTTCTAAATTGGCACATGTCGTAATTTCCTAACAATTTAACAAAATTAAATACAGAGTATAAACATTTCTTGTTGCTGTTCTTCTTCTTTTCATATTTTTGAAAATCTACCCAGAAAGAAACGAAGACCAATCTTTGTGTTTTTTTTGTTTGTTTTCCTAATCACAACAATCAATAGAGGTATGCATTTCAGAGTACAGTAACAGCAGCTACACAGTACACAAACAGTTCGTGTTCCTTACATGACATTTTCACGTTCGTCTGTGTAAATCTGTAATCTTGGAAATATCCCTAAAATGATTGTCGTGGTGTGTTTGAACATTTTGTGTAATGCGTATTTCCCAGTTATTTTTTGGAGGAAATTACTTTCGCAGATCTGTGGCACCCATGCTGTCATGGCTGGGACTGGATTCCATTTCACTGGATTCACTGTCCATGGGTGTTGGTGTATTACGCTGCTGCTGTTGTTGTTGATTGTCGTTGCTGTCATTCAGACTTGAATTTTGCTGTTGAGTTGCAGCTCCACCTTCGTTTTCATTGTAACGTATTAATTTAATTGTTGTCAAGCCATCAGCATTTCGTATTAATCTGAAGAGAAAAAATGAGAAGGAATAAAATTAGTTTACAAATTTCATTTCAATATGTTAATTCGGTATCAGAAATGTCACCAAATCTCTAATTTTATATGTAGGTACGAAACTGAAATACTTACGGATAGCAATCGTCATTGGCCGATGGACTGGAATAGGGTCTCTTCTCGACACTACCGCTTACACTCAAATCTGTGGGTTTCATTTCATCGGATGATGGACCGGATGTCTCATGCGGCGATACTGCATTTGGTTCATTCTTCATAATGTTGAATTGGAATTTCTCATTGGGTGTTGTGGGCAGAGCAGCGGGTGAATTTGGTGGTACACCGTTGGATGACAAATAGTGGAAGGCTCCATTAATGGCATGCATAAACAACGGTGAAGATGGTGGCGGACCATAGGCGGCAGCAGCAGCTGCGGCCACCGCAGCGGCAGCAGATGAAATACCATTGGGCAAAGTCAAGTGATTGGGATTGCCTTGCGATGAAGGTCTTTGTGGAGTCTGCATCTGGCTGGCTGGAGTTTGGGTTGGCATGGCCCAGTTGGTACCATTGGAGGTTGGGGAATTCGTAATCGAGGAAGGCGATTGATTAACATTTGAGTTGCTACCATTTGAATTAGTAGCTCCAGGGCTGCCATTTGTACCATTCGTCTGACCCACCGATTGTCTTAGCAGGGAAATATTTTTAATGTTTTTCAGCTCTGTGGGATTTCTCAAGAACTGATAGCAATGACGTTCACCTTGGACTTTGCGTAGGATGTTGACGCGGTAATAGTAACGCAAGGCACGTGACATTTTGTCATAGTTCATGGACAAATGGTTCTTTTGGATGCCCCACAATTTGGCCAGACCAGCGGGATCCACGATTTTGAAGACGCCAGTATCACGGCATTTCCAAGCAATCAGATCACTGTATTTCTGATTGCGATCGTTGAGCAACTGTTGCAAGAAGTCCCACAACAAGCGGCCATCTAAACGAAAGAGGAGACAAAAATGGGTTTCAATTAGAAATCGATAATTTTGATGGTGTTATTGTGTGTTAACTTACTTGTGTTGGGTTCAGTGTTTTCGGGGAAAAATTCACGTTTTACTGGTTGCATATAACGATTGTCACTCTTGTCGGGGAAGAATTCCCTCTTCACTGGTTGCATGTAGCTGGGTGTGGTGGGCGCTGATACTGAACCACCTCCCAAGTTGGGTAGTTTTTGTTGTTCCAAGTTCAAATGTTGTTGTTGCTGCTGTTGTTGTTGCTGTTGAGACCATGAATTGACAAAGGTGTTCTTGATCTGTTGTTTCAAGCTTTGTGGCATATCCTTGAGAATGGGCGTTGTGGGCGGACTGTTGTTATATTGGGCCACGGCTGCTGCAGCAGCTGCCGCCGCTTGATAAGATTGGGCGGAGAAATTCACAATTGTACTGTTGGCTGCAGGTGGTTCAGAATAGCTTTCCTCATCTGAATCCGAATGATGACTACTGGCACTGGTGGCATTATGTTGCTGCTGTTTTAAGGCACTGAAAGCATTGCTGGCGCTCAACGCCGCTGCTGCTGCTGCCGCCGCAGCTGTAGCCTGTGCAGATGCTGACGAAGTGCTACCCGTGCTACTTGTACTACTGCTGCTGCTGCTATTGCCATTGTGGGCCGACGATGATGATGACGACGACGAGGAGGATGGGGAATTTGATGTTCCATTCTGCTGTTGCTGTTGTGCTTGATCATGGCTTTGGGGCGGGCTGCTGGCTTGCGAATCTACAGAAGGCGGGGGACTAAGGGTCACCGAATTGGGTGGCATGAAATGATGTGGAGCTAAATGTGAGGTCTGATGGAAGGCACTTTCTGGCGCCCCAATGGGCGGCCAAGTCGGGGTAGGTGGATGACTGTGCGGCGAAAGAGGATAACGGCTGGTTGGCGTGACAGGACTATTTGGTAAATGCCACTGCATCATGTGCGATTCGATCACCAACATTTGTAAGACATTGTGCAAGACATCGCCAGCTCCCGGACACCGATGGCCGAAATCAGCTCGTGTCAGCAGGCACAATGCCTTACCGTTCATTTGAAAGAGATCATAATCGACTTTGGGTAAATCGAACTCACGTTCGCAGAAATGCAAGAATACGGCCACATCTTCACGGCTCCATAGGCGTGGATCTGACGGCAATGAGGGTGGTAATTGTGTTTTAAGCTCGGCCAATTGGCTGGGCGGTGCTGGTGGGCAACGCCATAACATATCGCTCCATAAGCCTAAAGGCGGATTCAATGATAACTGTACCGGAAGCATTTTCATTTTGATTTTGTTGCAACAATTTGAAGAATATCTTTGCTCTTCGGCTGTTGTAGTTGCGTTTTTTATTTTAATTGTTGTTCACGTCAATTTAATCCAATGATGAGAGAATTAGAATTCGATAAAATTATCATAGGAGAAACATTGAGGTGATTTTTGTGTAGATTTTCGGTTGTAATTATAACTGGAAGACGACAGTCACAGATTTAAAGCTGCAAATAGGAAAAAAACAAACAAAAATAAATTAATGGGGGTTCAAGCATATTGGTGGGTTATATTTTATAATAAATTAGTAATTGTAATAATTTTTTTAATAAATTACATTTATAGACGTTGGGAAAAATATTAAAACTCTAAAATAAATATTAGGTCGGTCAAAATATGTATAATTCGCACCTATTTTAAGTGGTAAAAACCTTTCTAATTTTAATTTACAGGTTAAAAGTTAAGGAATCAAAATTTATTCTTTATAATTTTAAATATTAAAGTATAAACGGAATATATTCAGGATAATGAAATACGCGATCGGATTCCAGTTTATTAAATAGTAATAACAATTATGTAAACAAAACTAATTTTCTTCTTTTGTAACATTTAATAAAATAGAATAAATATAAATAGAAATTATGAATGAAATTTCAATACATTGATGGGGAGTATTTCTTCCTGAGATTTTTCAAAACATGTTATCTATTTCTGTACATTTCCATTAATTCTTGCACATATGTTTACTATTCCTGGGTATTTCGATATCATTGTTTTTGTAATACATCAATTGTTTGTGTATTCGTTTATTTTTAGTGTACTTCCTGTATCCTTTATTTTCAACACAATTTATGGGTTTGCTTTAAATTTTCAAAATTGTTATTTATGATTCATATTTCTTATTATTTCAAACAAACGTTCAATACATGTTCGATCATATTTCAAAATGAAATAAAGAATTAGTTCTCATTTGTTTTGATTTTTAAATACCGATATTGTATTGTAGTTTTTTTTTCTCTTCTATTTGACGATGATGATGAGTCTTCTGTGGGTGTAAATTTAAATATTGTTTGTATTGCTTGTTGTTTCTTCAAATTAATATACAAACATGTGTATGTGTGTACGTTTGTACTTGTGTATCTAAATTGTGAGCAAAGACACCATAACAAAACAACAACAAAAAAACGCGTCAGACTCTTTCTTCATCGAAAAAATCGGTCACTTCCGTTTCGAAAGCAGGGAAATATTTTCACACACAAAAATTGTTGAAGAATAAACAACAACAGCAACAACAACATCAATCGTACATAAATAAATAGAATACAAGACGTTTACGCGAGTAGCCGACGCCGCCGACACAGATGTTTAAGATTTTAGGAAATCGAAATCAAATTTCAAATCAAAACCCAAACAGAATACAAGACGGACGAATAAATAAACAATCACATCCGTCTGCCATAATCAAACCAAAAACGGTTTTTTTGTTTAATTTTCGTTGTTTTCTTTATAATGTTTTATGATTTGTTGTTGTTGGTTCGTATTGTTGTAGTGTATCCAAATGTAGCAGAAAAAATTTACAAATTATTCAGCAGCTACCCACAATAATTTCCGAAATTGTTTTAATTATTTTTATTTTTTTCTTTATTGGGGGAATTGTAAACACCATCCACACACATACATTTTTTTCTTTTTAGAATTCAGAATAGTTTTGTATATTTTTTGTTATTAAAAAATGTTTTAAATTTTCAAAATTAATAAAAATTATTTATCCACCTTTTATTTGTTAATATGTTATTTTGATTATTTTCAAAATTGCAGCACCATTGACAATGTTGTTGATATTCGAAAATCGCTTTGGTGTGTTGTTGATTCGTTGATGATAATGGCAATGTTGACGATGATGAGTATGGCAAATTGTATTCCGGAAAGGTGAGAACTTTTGTTTGTTCTTAGCTGGCTGGTAGTGTATTATCACAAGTTAAATATATTTCTATTTTTTTAAATAAAAAATTAAATATTTCGTTTTTTCTTCGTTAGGCGCGCGCAATTATGACGACACGGGCACACGGACAACACGACACAGACGATGTTGCTCAGTAAACGTTTAACTTCTTATTGAACACACACTTGAACTAAATATTCGAGTGTAGCAAAGACACGGATTTTGAGCATTCGACAACAACACCACCACCACAACAACAACTCTCAGCACACTGAGAATACAACGTTGATGATGATGACGACGGAGACGACGTCGTCGTCGATAACAAAAACAACAACACCAAGTATAATGACGTCGACGTCGTCTACAAACAATGTTTGAAGAAGAGGAATAAAAGCCAAACAAAAAAGAAGAGAGGAAGACAGTTGTTGGTGGTGCTCTGCTCTTTGCTAGAGTTTGTACTTGCTGGTCGATTGTGTGTTGGCGGCGGCGTTAGCAGGCAAAGTTGTTGTTGTTGAACACAAAACGAACAACCAAGGAACACACGCTGTATGCCTTCGTCTTCTTCTTACAACAGGGATGAGGAATTTTAAATTTCTACAATGTACTATTTTGCCCGAATGTACTGCCGGAACTTAGAGGAATGGGTATTTGTGATTCTAAATGAGAAGTGTCCCTCATGTCCATCGGAATAAGTTTGATGTAGGCATGTATATGGTGGGTAAGATTGTTTGATCTTTCTTGCAAGCTATGAAATACCGTTAACTCCTAATGTCAAGGGACCACCCTGAAAATTACGAATTTTGAGCTTCACGGGATAATAATTAATGGCGATCCATTATTAATCTGAATTGATTAATATTGATTTTCATTAGATGATTTTACTTCTCAGTTAGGTGAGAGATGAAGGATTATCATTCCCCGCAACTGCCTCATCTAAAGACAACAGAACGAAAGCTTTTAAAATTGCCTAGTGTAAATCAGGACTCGCATTATATTTTAATGACGGAAGAGCGAGTATAATTTGAATTTCCATTATGCTATATTCTCTCAATTTTAACGAAATGTTCAGTCTATTAGTATCCTCCTTTTCGACATTGTAGTCATAAAATATTTCGCATAGACCTCAGTATAAATCTCCGATGAAATAGGAATTACTTTGAATGATTGACTGTATTGTTAATTTTCCTATTCCTTTCT